ACTCGTAAAAACATTCTCTTGTCTCTATCTAATGGCGGAACAATGTAACAAATCACCATCATGAACACACCCACACAGAAACACACACGGTTTACCAATACTAAATACTACTATTATTTATATAAAATATTATTTATTGAATAATAATATTGAATAAACAACAACAGCCATCATAAAAGTTGCTAGGCAGTTCAATCAAAAGTACAAAGGCGGTGCTCTGAACATTGAAGTTACGTAAACATGATGAGATTTTGCCAAAACTATTTGCTCTGGAACAAAAAATAGATTAATGAGACCAAAGACTGCCCTTTAGATTTACCCAATACTAAATATCTCGTTTAACCACTATAGAGACATCAGAGCCAGCGGTAAATTCCAGAAGATCTGGCCAAGGTGAGGTGCTCTCTCCGCGGGTTTATGAGCGCAGAACGGCCGCTGATGCTCTGGAGCTCAAGTCTCTGAAAACGTCGAAGCAAATTTTCAAATACACGTTAGATTTATTAACAAACCGCATTTTGAAGTCCAAACAAGTACATTCTTGCCTAAAAATCTCTTAAAACTACATTCCGTGACATAAAAACAGTATTATTCTTAAATTATAGTGGATTAGGGTGGCCATGACGCTGTCAGAAATACGGCAAAAAAAAAGAAAAAAACATTTTCAACTAAATACTTAAAAAAAAATATATATATTCAATCAGCATATTCATATATACATAAAATGACAGGGATATTTTTAACAAAATAGTAAAAAAAAACATAGCAAACCTATACTTGCTAAACGGAAAACTCAAGGGCTTTTGTGAAAAGTATAGATCTACTTCTGCATATCTATTTGTTTATACCGTACAGACAGCCAACATTTATTACAAGCGGTGAATTACCCCTTTAAACATGTGCACTGGGGTCATGTGACAATGTAGCATACAGCTTGCACCATTTAACATACATTGTGTATAGCATGCTATTTCACAACTATTTGTGAGCAGCAGACAGTTAACAGTACATACTGTGCAGTTGGAGTAAGCAGCACACTAGTAATCGACTGTTAACACAGGCAGAAGTTGACAGACGCTGGGCAGGGGTGGAGGCAGAGCAGCATGCACAGGAGTGTGTTTTATGTCTGCGTTTGCGTCAGACTCATTAAGCTGAAGGCAGCAGTGCTGAGCTCTGGACGGAGGACTCATTCCTCATTTATCTCAACAGTAACACTGGATCAAGAATCATCAATTTAACGTGTCCATGTGCCTTTGTGAGATGCGCTCATTCATACAAATGTGTAGCAGGACGATACAAAATCTGCAATGCATTTTTATTTCCTTTATATGTTTTTCTGAGTTAAAATAATTATTGCAGAATAACAGAGACTGAGATTTGATTGGATAGTGACTGATAGTCTGTCATATTGTTAGTTTATATAACTCTCTGTCTATTATTTCAGAGATGGAAAAAAAGTTATTGTATTGTGATAAGATTATGATTAAGATTATGAAAACAAGCATTTTCTTCTCTTTAAAATAACGTGCACTGATGAATCATGCAAAATAAGGCCATTTGTTAAAAGAATAGTTCACCCTAAAATTAAATGTCATTTACTTGCCCTCATGTCACTCCAAACCTGTATGATTTTTGTGGAAGAAAAAATTTGAATGTTTTTGTTTTCCCCTTACAAATAAAGTATCTAAAAAATCTTACTGACCCCAACCTTTTGGACTGTAGTGTAGTGTTTTTTTTTTTTTGGAGAGAGAGAGAGAGAGCTATGGAGAGGACAGAATTATCAGTGAACAACAACTTAAATTTGTGCATAAAATTAATAAAAGACTTGGAATACAGCATATGACCCATATGGACCATTTATAGCACATTCTGCCTCACATCTCCAAATGTGTTCCTCAAAAGAATGAAAGGCTTTGAAAGAACATGAGGGTGATTAAATAATGATAGAACTTTAAATTTTTGGGTGCACTGTTCTTTTAAGAGCACAAACAGGGTCAACTGTGGTTGCGGCTGTGTGTGTATTTTGCGTTAAGTATACTTGGATCTTGTATCTGACAGGCTCTTGGCATTGCAGCTGAAGAATTCAGCTGGGTCTCACGTCACACACAAACATATACACAAAGATGGAAACACACTCCTCCTAAATGACCCATCATCAAGGACGTTCTGCTTTAGCCAGCGCAGTTGTTGTCCTGTTTTAAGACTCACACAGGAACACACCTTTACTCTGTGCTCTCAAATACTGCAGAGCTTTACCCTGGTGACCCCCCATATGGCCACTAGAGCGTCTCTCTCTCTCTCTCTTTCTCTTTGTCTCTCGGTTGTCTGTGCTGTTATATATAGCTGATATTTGTGCACTTATGGACTGAAATGCTTGCTGTTCCTGGAGTGCAGAATCTGCCAAAATGACAAAGTTTATCTTCATTAAGCACAGAGAGTTATCTGCAGATTTCCACCGAACACACACTCACAGACACAAAACATTTCCTCATTGACTCACAAACTCTCTAGACTTGCCTACAGCACATGTAAACACACCCTTTCTCTTTATCTCACACATACATCCTGAAAGGACCTTTTTACCTTTCACAGTGACTTGACCCTTCGTAAAGACCCGCCCCCCTTCGTTATTGTTGCTATGTCTGACAAGCCATGCCGCTCTCACACTACACATCATGTTCTCACGCAGTGAAAAATACATCGCGCAGCAAAGCGGAAACTGACAGTGTAGCTTTAGTTAGGAATCAGTTTTTAAATTCGGTAAAAAAAATTTTTAAGAACTTCAAACAATAAACTGTTTTGTGGCTCTTCAATGTCCCCTGATGGATCACTGCAGTGCCTCAGTTCAAGCGGCACATTAACCGATCATCTCTTCCTCTTTACTAGTTATAGCATGATGAAATAAACATGAATGAACATCAGAAGGTATCTTTTATCAGCCACAGAAAGATGTCAATATGTAATTTTTCAGGTTCAAGTCCACCGATGTTAATCTACTTTCCTGTCTGAATTGTCTGTTGGACAAAAATGGCAGATTTGGCATTATGATTGGTCAGATCGCCTGTCAATCAAACTCCATGTGAAGGGTCCCTCAGAACACAAACAGGCCCAATGGATTTTTTTATTACAGAAAAAAGTGTAAACTTTGTGAGATGTAAACTCAGAATTCAAGAAAAACATAGAATTGTGAGAATTCTGACTTTTTCTTTGAATTCTGAGTTTATACCTTGCAATTCTGATTTATTTTTATTTTTTTTCAGAAATTGGCTTCCATAATTTATTCATTCACTTGATAAATAATAATAAAAAAATACATTTAAGAGTTTGCACTTATTCAAATCAATCTATGGATTCCCACACTTTTTTGTTAGCTGAACCCCTTTGAACTAATTTTTTTTTCATGACATGAAGGTAAATTAATAAAATTTTTCATCTTGTTTTAGTAAGTGTTTTCTATTGGTTGTTTATTTTATTTTAAAAATATTTATTTTCATTTTATATTTTTTATGGTTTATTCATTTTTAGCTTTTCATCAACTCACAAACCATAGTTTGGAAAACCCTGAATTAATCAATTCATCCACTTGCCTGTTCACTCATTTATTCATTTGTTTGTTTCATTCATTTATTCAACTCGTCTCACTGTAACAATAAAGAGCCTGAACTTTGATCACTCATTTAATTAATTTATACATTCATTCATTCATTCAAATATTGTTGTTTTACCTTGTTGTACAATCACAATAAAGAACTTAAATATTTAATTGATTTATTAATTCATTATCCTGTCCACTAAATCTTCATTTACATACATATTCATTCAGAATTCATTGGCTGCACATTTTGGGGGAAAAAATCTAATTGCTCAAAAAAAATTAAGATTTAAAAAAGGTTTAAAAACTTAGATTTTATAAGATGTGCTTGTTTGTAGGGCTGCACAATTTGGCCAAAAATGTATTTGAATTTTATATATATGTGTGTATACACAAACACACACACATACAATCCCTAATTTATTCTATCTATTCCTTTACTCATTCTTTCATTCATTTATTCTTTTATCATATTCATTCTCTCAAATGTTTCTTCTCAAATTCATTTTCTCAAATCTCAAACCACTCAACCATTACTGCCCTTAAGATGGGCTGGATGGAGCTCACATTAGTTACACACACACACACACACACACACACACACACACACTCACTAACGGCACATCAAACGCCTCCGGCTGATGTGATATACTCCAGAGACTGAAGCATGTGGGGAGATCGGTGAGTAAAACAGCAGATGAGAGAGGTGTGTTCTCCACAATAACACCCAAACTCACAAAACAGACGTGAATGCTGCCTCAAATCCTCACATCCAAATAGCTGTGTGCTGTTACATATCTACAGCCTAATGGCCAATAAAACAGGCAAAACAATCCTATAGACTTACTGTCCACTGAAGGATGGATCCAAGCCATATTATAGCGGGATGGACTCTTTTGACTTGGGCAACTAAGCTTGAAACCAACTTGCAGATACCCAAAAAGAAATGCCGTTCTTATTGCATTTACTGCCCTCAGTAGTGTGCTTTTAAATGAAGGTATCAGATTTTATCAGAGTAGATCAAAAAAATCTGAAATAGTTGTGTAACATAATGCTTGTAAAAAGTGTTTGCACAGACAAACTTTTCACTGATTTTTTAGAGGAGTCATAAATGCAATCCAATACTTAGGCCAAATGATAAATTAAATAATAATCATTGGGTTCAATTTTTTAAAGGAAAAAGTTCTGAATAGAACAACACTCACATATTTTTTCAGAAACTGCAACAGTCTAGTTTATATGACCAGAGCTAAAGACAGGTCCCGTGTGCTTTCAAAGTACAGACATCTTACAAAGCACATCTGCTGTAAATATAAAGTACACACAGAAAAATCTGCCCCATGATGAGCAGGTGCGCTGGTCTCCTGTAACTCTCAGCCATTTGCAAAGAGGGAAATAAGGGAGCTCTTACTGCTTTGGACGCTGACGTAGCTGGTGGCGTTTTCTCTGCCCAGCGAGTTCTCCGCCACACAGGTGTAGTTCCCAGAATCCTCCAGTCTCACTCTGCTGATGTGAAGCTTTGAGTTTTTCCTGCGCAAAGCAACCAAGACACAAAGAAAGAGAGAAATTGAGAAAAACATCAGGGTATATGAGGGCAGAAATTCAAAGAGAGACAAAAAAGTCAGATGAGAAAGGGGAAGAAAAAAAACACATTGGTAGAGACTTTGTGTATGTGCAAATGTAGTTGCTATTTATCCCAGAAGGACATGATCCTGTATCACCATGTTGTTGGGCCTAGAACAACATTGCTATCAACCAATCAGACTGTAGGATCATATGCTGCGTTCCAACTTTAAAGTCAGAATTTCCAACACTCTATTCGGAAAAGTGCAATGAAATGGCACTTGCACTTTGGAAACTGTTGCAGAAATCCCAACAATTCTGCCAAGATGAGCTCACATAAACATGCCAGCACATAAAACCATTTAATAATAAGCACAGTTGAGACATCACATGACAAAAAACTTGTGTAACAAGCAAAGGTTTGAAGAGACAGGTGTATAAAATATGATAAATTGTTTTCGCTGCCTGCCAAATACTAGCATTACAATTTTTTGTCATAGCATTGGACAATAAAATGCCCTTACATTTACATTCAAAAGTTATTGTTATTATTATATATTGGGTGTGATTTTTTTATTTTCTTTACTTTTTTAAAGAATTAATATTTTATTCAGCAAGGATGCATTACATTGATACATTACATGACAGTAAAGACATTTATAATGTTAAAAAAAGACTTCTATTTTTTCTTTTGAACTTTCTATTCATCAAAGAATTAAGCAGCACAACTATTTTCAACATTGATAATACTAAAATGTTTTTTCAGCATATAAGAATGATTTCTGAAGGATCATGTGACACTGAAGACTGGGGTAATGATGCTGAAAATTCAGCTTTGGCATCACAGGAATAAATTACATTTCTATATATTCAAATAGAAAACAATTCTTTTAAATTGTAATATTACTGTTTTTTTTGTTTTTTTTTTACTGTGTTTTGCTTAAATAAATGCAGCCTTGGTGAGCATAAGACGCTTTTTTCAAAACATTACAAAATCTTACAAACCTCAAACTTCTGAACAGTAGTGTATTTATTATTTGTATTTAGTCATTTAGCAAATGTTTAATCCAAATTGACTAACAAATAAGGAACATCACAAGCAATCAAGTCTGTATGGCTGGAATCAGAGATACAGATCAGGAATATCCCACATCTGACTTCGGGCTAGGATTAGGGTTAGACCTAATTTTTGATAGGAATGTTGTTCCAGGACCAACAAAGGATGTCGGTCAAGGAATATGTCCAATTTGGCTTCATCACATCATGCGTGGGGTCTCTAGTGGTGTCAATGTGATACTCGCATTGTCTCTCTGGCCTTCTCCTCAGGTCAGCATGTGGACAGCTCATTAGAGGAGCAAAGCTCTTGAAGGATCTCGCTCTGGAGCCGAAAGCAGAGAAAATGGCAGCTGCGCATATCATCCTCTGTCCTTACTTTACCTCCATCATTATTAAACCATCCCTGTTCGTGTTGTCAGCTCTTTCACTCACAGTTCATCGGCGTAAGTGTGCGTACGAATGTGAGCACATGTCTCCGTGACTGTGGATCTGCAGTTTCAGCACACACACATTTGCAAAATTACACAAGGGGCCGGGGAACAGGCAATCCTGTTAGAGTGATCTGCTTTCTGTGGAAACGTGCACCTCAGCACTTTTTCTCGGAGAACAGAAGAGGACCGTCACGTTACGGAATGCCCTGAATTCTCCCGTATGTTTCTTTCCCTGCGGTCCCGGCATATTGAGCAGCTACATACGGACTGACTGTGACATACGGACTGAATATACAGCTCCATGTGCACTATTGATTTGTGTTACAAATGGCTAAATGACATTGATGCAATGTTACTGCAACATGTACAGTTCAGCAGCTTTTTATTAGATCCTTTATCCCGTTTTATGAAACGCAGCTTTCCCATATATTAAGACATTTGCATGATTATGCAATTTTCACTGAAGACTAGTTTATCTAGACCCCAAGCGTATATAAACTTAGTCATATGTTTTTTTTTATTATTATTCCATTCTCCACCTACAGACGCCACTGAGGGAAGTATTGCGTGTTTGGGCCCACACACTCTCCCCTCAGATGCGCCGGCAACCCACGGTCCCATTGCCAGAGAAAAGCAATGAAGGGGAAGTAACCCACAATTTACTGATGGAGCTTCCTTAAGATAGTTGACCAGAGCTTGGAGACTCAACATCCTTTATTCACTTATGAAGAGGAATAGTTCAGCCAAAAATGTAAATTTTAATATCATTTACTCAATATCTTTCAAACCTGTTTGACTTTTTTTTTTCGACATAAGCATAAAATTACAGCCTCCACTTGCACAAAATGACGCAAGTAAACTTGAATGTACAGTAAGTTACACTACTGTTCAAAAGTTTGGATTTAAAAAAAAAAAGAAATTAATATATTCAGCAAGGACATGTTACGCTGATGAAAAATGATAGTAAAGACATTTATTATGTTACTCATTATGCTACAGCTTTTAATAAAGTCTGTTCTTTTGAACTTTTTATTTATCAAAGAATCCTGATAAAATGTTAAGCAACACAACTGTTTTCAACATTGATAACAATAAGAAATATTTCTTAAGCACCAAATCGGCATATTAGAATGATTTCTGAAGGATCATGTGACACTGAAGACTGGAGTAATGATGCTGAAAATTCAGCTTTCCATCACAGAAATAAATTACATTTTAAAATATATTCAAATAGAAAACACTTCTTTCTGATTGTAATATTATTTTAGAAAATTACTGGTTTGACTGTATTCTTTGATCAAATAAATATAGCTTTGGGGAGATTTCTTTCAAAAACGTAAGAAAATCTTAATCACAAACAAACTTGTGAATACTTTTCGAATTTATGTGAATTGATGTATTCAATCATTTTGTACTTTCCCATGAATGTTAATGAATATGACATGATGAAATATTGACTAAATTAAAGAATATTTGTATATTACAATATGAGAAACTGCAAATGAGATTTGAGCACTGTAACAGAAGGGTCAAACTATATCTTTCATTTCTGTCTGTTTCTCATACAAGTCTATCAAATGGCTTCTGAAGATTTAGACATTTGGACCATTTTTTGGCAAGATTAAGATGTTTTTTGGTACTGCTCTCATTATATGAGAAAGAGCAGCATGAACTTTCTTCATAATTTCATAAAGAAAAAAAATCATACGGGTTTGGAACAACATGAGAGCGAGTAAATGATGAAAGAGTTTTCATTTTGTGTGAACTACTCCTTTAACAAGACGTCTGCATCTCTCTCCTCTCTGAAAAAAAAAGAGTCTATTTACAAACTGGGACAGTCTTTTGCTTGAGTTGATGGGAGATGTATTTTTAATACCTCTGATGCCAAGAATAGTTCTGCCAGCGTATGAGTAGTGTGTTTGCTTGTGCATGTGTGTGTGTGTGTTTGATGAGTCTTACTTGTTGGATTTGATTTTGACGTCTTTCCTCTTGCGGAGCTGGCTGCCGTCTTTGTACCAGTTGAAGGAGGGGCTCGGGTTGCCCACAGCTTCACACTTGAGTGTCAGCTTTTTACCTTCCAGGAGCCACTGAGAATCCATGGACTTCACCTTCGGAGCTGATGCTACAGACGGAGAAAACAGACAGAGAGTGAGCAGAAAAGAAATGCAGGTTTGCCCAAAGGACAGAGAAAGCACACATTTGTTTCTCTTTAATACCTCAGTTGTTTCTCGTAGACAGCAATGAGCAATGCTTTCGCTTTGGACTGATTTAAATAAAAACAACAGAACACATAATGTTGCAAAACATATTAGCTTGTTATTTTGCGGTGTTTATTCCTTCCACGTTCATTTTACATTTTGCACACTCGTCCTATTTGCTGCTCTTTTTATTTATCCTAAGGAATTTTAGGAGAAACATTTGAGACAAAAAAATGAAACATAACTGGAGCAAACTATGAGCAATACGGATTCCTTGGGTGGAGGTGAGATTGACTGAGGTGACAAGTGGAGAAGAAAGAGAGGTTACTGCAGAAAAAAAGAAGAGGGACTGATGGAGGGAGGGATGGATTTTGTCAAAGGAGGAAAGGAGAGAAAGAAGAAGGCATGACGGCTGAAAATGCAAGGAAGCATGTTGAGAGACAGATGCAGACAGGAGGATGAAGAGAAGCAAATAGAAGAGTGGGAAAGCAGAAAGAAGTGAGAAACGAAAGAGTGTGTGAAAGATTAATGGGGCTCATCTTTCTGCAGTTTACCTTGCTAAAGTAATCCATCTAGCAATGAGAAACAAGCCCAATATTGTGAACTATGAGCAGTAATAAAAATACAGTACATTTAGTGCAGCAAATAATGATCACACACACACACACACACACCCACACACACACACACA